TTAGACAAGAAAGGGTCACAAAGGAAAACAGATTAAGCCAGTAAAAATCAGATCTGTCATATCTGTCCTGTAGCCAAGAGAATTTTAATTTCAAAAAATACTTAAAAGACACTCAGATGAAAAGAGGTGACCCCAGTCTTCCAAGTCCGCTTCTAGGGAAACCACAGGCATTTGTCCAAAATGGCAGCTCTAGAAACTGAACTGTTTGAGTGAAGTTGAGTCTAGAGATCACCTTCCTTTTGTTGTGCTGTGCCCCAGGGATTTTTACCTAGTTTCAAAAATGGCCCTCACCTTATGTTTTTCCTGGAGCCTGTAGTCACTACGTTAGCCTGTTTAGAAATGTCTTCCTTTAGAAAGTGTCAAATACAGTTCACTTCTGTGTTGTCCTCACTTGTTGCTGGTTAAACCTACCTTTCTTTTCAAAAGGGGTTGAGAAGGATGGAGCTTGGTATGTAGACGACCTACATCTTTTAAAGTACCATGATTCTTTGATAACAATACTTTTCCAAAGCTTTACTTTTTGGAAAAGCACACAGCTTGGGTGACTTATTCCCACTGCTTTAAAATTTCCAAAGCAACAGACGTCCATACTTTGCGTCATCTGTTGTAAAGAGACTTATTTACATCCTTCTATTAAAAAAGTCACTTCAGATTTCCCAGCTTCCCATTAAACAATGAGAAGTTTCAATAGGTAGTCATACCCTTCAATCTCAGGTCCTTGGATTTTAGGCAGAATCTCAAGTGAGCTTGAAGGCATTTACATTGTCAAGGGCTAAAAATGACCAGCTTCTAAAGACCCTGGCATTCTCAAAGCTTCACCATGGGCATGTCCAATTCTTTAGCTTTCACGTTTTGCCACACATCTTAGGAGCTTATTGATTTAGGCACAGGAGGAGATTCTTGAGAAATGGATTCTTCATTGGTCAGACGATCAAGGTTTTCGGTGGGTGTTTTGGTTTTTTTTTTTTCTTCTTCTTCTTCTTCTATTGTTAAGTCAGATTCCCAACTTAAAATTCTTTCCCTAAGAAGTCATTAAGAACTCTGGAAAAGTCCATTTTCCATTTAAATGGAAAATGACAGCACTGGAGGTGGGTTTTACATTGACTATCTGTGAAGGACAAAAGCTCTGTCTGGTGCTTAGAAATCACCCAGCTCCCCTGCTAGGGACAGGGAACATTGCCGCCCAGCAGTGACTACTTGCAAGCAAGTACAGTTTCTTGGGGGCAACTTTCTAAAGTGATATTTCTCACAGTGACATCAAGGGATGCTTTCTATTCATATCAGTCCAACATGCCTCAAAACTGAGGAGACTTCAGTATCAGATTTTCTGGACAGTTTTTCTAAACATTTGGATTCACAAATATCAAGTAAAAATGAATGTGTTTACCTATAAACAGCATATTGGCAGTACCGAGGTGTCTTTCAGGGTGTTCCAAGTTACTTTCACTTCTTGCTGAATTTATTTATGAAAATAGTGTATGGCCTTGAATCATGCATGTTCATCTGTACTTTTATAAAATTATGGGACTGCCATCATCTGATAATTCAGCAATTAACTAAAATCTAAGCGTATGTTAATTTTTACTTCAAAAAAGGATTTAGACAGTCTTTTCTCTTGCTCTGATTACTTAAAATGGATCGTGATGGCTGCTCACACTGTTACAGAGTAGGGAGAGAGGGACACCTCTGAACTCCCAAACCTGCCTGCTCTAAATAGGTTCTGCCATCCGCCACATCAATACAAGACATAAAAGCTTTAATGAAAAGGAACTTTAATACAGTAAGTATACAGCACAGAAGACAATAGAATTTCTAAATCAAACACCTGAAGTTAACCATCCCTCGTGGTGAGAGTGCACCCAAAAGAGATTGGCCCAAAGCAAGGCCTGAAAGCTGCCACAAGACCTCTGGCTGGGATCTCTGGCCAGACAAGTCTGGGAGGAAAAGAACACAATCAAAATCAAGATAAACACGGTCATAGTGAACCTCCTTCACATAGGTCTCTCACCCACATCTCTTTCAACCATTCAGGGCCAAGAAACAAGCACAGTTTCTTCATCACATGCTCCCTGCTCCAAGTGGCCTCCTCAGGTCTCCTTCTGGCTCTCCATCCTGCCTCCTTCCTCTTCAGATTTCTTCTCTGCTCAGCTCCACCCTCCTCTTGGGTGGCGCAAGAAACCTGGCACTTCCCTTTTCCTGGGGACCACCCTCTTACAACACCACTGTCATAGTGCCATCTAGCCTTCCCTCAATCAAAGCAGACGAGAATCGCTTAGGTGTGCTTTGTCTTTCTTAAGAATTTGTGTGTGAACTTCCATGGTGCTCACAGAGCATTATATTCAGATTATACTTCGGTCATTTGATTAACTCTGATAGAAAGTTTCCATAGCTAATGCCAGAGAGAATGTGTTGTTTCATTGTGAGTTACAGAAACTAATTTCTCAGGATTAAGATACAGATGATTTCAGCTGTGGCTTAGTGCCGTGGCCTATTTTCTAGCCTGTATTTAGAGATAAAATAGTTCTAGTATTTCCAACTGAGTAAATCTGGAAGGAGTGAAGGTTCAGCCAGAATTTTTAGGCAGGAGCCGCATGCCACCATGTGGGGTCCTGGCTTTTGTGTTGAGTGTTGTGCCGTGGGACCAGTCCTGGCCCTGTGCAGTGTATGTGGGGTGTCACCACATACAAGGCCACTGTCGGGCAGGTCAGGCTCAAATGCTGGAGTGCCCTGGACAGAAGGCCAGGCAGGTTCTGGAACAGCCCGGTGTCTTTCCATAGTCTTTGTTCCCCATTAAATGAATGTTTTGTTTTGTTTTCTTACATCATTGTTCATTTTTGTACAATATTTGATTTCTCCCCTCAGGTATAATCCCCAAAATTCTCCCATCACCACTGCACCTGTGACCCCATCACCAGTCCCTTGTGCTCTTCCCACCCTCTTTGACCCTCTCTCATCCTTCCCTTCAGATTTTCCATAGAGAATCCAGAGAATCCCTTTTTTTTTTTTTTTAAGGTTTTACTTACTTATTTTTGCTTAGAAGAACTGGTATATAGGCCAGAAGTACAGGGGAAAGGATTCGCCAGAGACAGAGTGGGCAGCAGAACAGGCAGACTGACAAAGTATGCTGCTAAGGGGAGCAGCAGGTGAAACAGGAGAGATCTGCTGTGCTGTGTGGGTCACCTCCTTGGCCAGGGATCAAGCTCAGGATGCAGCTGTGATTGCGCTGAGCCTTAACCCCTAGGCCACCAGGGAGGCCCCATACAGAGTTCCCATAATCTCTCAGCCTGGTGCTCCTCTAATTTCCATGGCATGCTATTTATTGAAAAACAAAACTGTGAGTAATACTGTTTTGAAAACTGCAATAAAATAAATAGACTTAGGGTATTTGTGTTATATGAAATGAGTGACAATGCACTTAAAAAGTTTAAGCCAGAACTAAAAACTGTTAATCCCTAACTGTATTTATTCTAAGACCAACACTTGACTAAAAAAAAAATGGCATCCTCTTTTTTTGAAATTTAAAGAAGTCTCCGGTTTCTCTAGCAGTTTTTTTTCTCCTAAAGGAAAACTTATGCCTGTCATTGTCTATCATCAGTTTCTTCCCAATACTGTGAAGACTTGATCCCATGCAGCATTTGAATACCTCTTTCCATGCACCTGAGCAGTCCCTTATAAACTTCGTTTTTGGTCCTTTAGTTGTATAACATTGCGTTTGTCGGGGAGAAGTTTGAGTTCAACTGATGAGTGATTACAGGTACTAAAAAATTCAGTTAACAAATCAATGGGAAAAGTGATTTTTTTTCCCCCAGCAACCAGATCTGTGCTACCTGGGAGACAGAGCAGTGAAGAGTGGTGGTAAAGGGACCTCAAAAATTGACACAGGTGTTAAAAATATTTAGCCTGAATAAAACTTTATAAAAGTGGTTAAACCAGTGAGAGGTGGTTTGTGATTTGACAACCAAAACAAGTTTTCTTGACATGAAACATTGAAAACTAAGCTAAAAATAAATTTTTTACACTCTACTTTGGTTTATTTTTTCAGTTTGTTTATTAACCTTAAGGTGAATAAACTTTTGTTACAGGTTTAGCCAAATATATAAAGTAACATTTATTAATAACCATAATCGAAATCTTTTTTCTGCAGTACAGAGGCTGAAAATTATGTCAAATAAATGTTGAAAATATAAAAGACTTGTCTGCTTTCCACTGGAGCAGACTTGTTTGGCCTTTTACATGCTGCATCTCGGGATGCTTGTCTTTGAATGCCTTAACTCTTGAGTCCAGAGCCTTCTAAATCAAATATTTACCTCGAGGCAGTAATTAAGTACAACACAGCTGGAAATGTGAGGCCTGGGTTCTAACTTTTTAGGGAGATACAGACTCTTTGCGCATTAAGTTTTAGCATGCGTGTCCCATAGTAGTTCTACCTGTCGTGTTACACTGAAAAAAGCCACTGTAGTATATATAAAAGTGTCTGTTGAGATTAACTTCAGTAACGTGATGATCTAAGTGGCCAGATATACTGATGATTTTTATAAGATGTTAATATGTGTAGAGAATTTTTTTTTCTAACTTTATAAAGAACTAGGTGTCGCTTAAAGTTTGTTTTTTTGTTTGTTTGTTTGTTTTAATTTTTTACCAAATAAGTGATCAGTTAAATGATGCTTGCTTTCTTTGTTCACATAGTTTCTGCCTTGATTTATTCTAGTATGTATGTGCAGGAATATTCACTCACCAACTGTATTATTTCTAGCAAGTAAACCCTAGTGGCATTAGTTGCCACCAATACATTTTATCATAACCTTGGTGGTGTTTTGCATCACGTAGGGCTTGTTTGGAATGCTTTCATGTAAATTAAGTCTGTGCAACCTTGGGTAAAATGTAAACAACTGCACTGTTAGGAAGATATTAAAGTAGAGGCTATATTTACAGTGTCGTCTTTCAAATCTAGCTATGCTGTAAACTGATGTTTGCTGTATGCTCCTCCTGATTTGAAATAGATGAAAGAAAATGAACCTATTATCACCATGGTTCACACAATGATTGAGAACTCGGCGCTAAGACCCCAACTGTACCAGCAAGTAAGGTCTTGGACAGTGAATGATACTGCTTTATCATCTGCAAATTCTCTCAGTGACAGTTTTGGTTTATCCTCAGAGTTACTCATAAACATTAGTGTTTTTCTTATTTCATTTTTTGTTTATGTCTCTTTGGAGAAACGCAATTCATCCATGCTTTTCAAGATGCTGCAGTATCCTTAGCATGGCTTCGCTGAACATTTTGCTGTTGAATATTAAGTGTGCCATTTTCCTGAAGTTTTTGTGCAGCGTATTTGATTAAATGTACTTGGAGGTCTGCAGTGCATTTGCAAAATTTTCACTACATTGCCATTTTTGGATGAACTCGATGCAGTCATCAAGATAGTCAGATCTTAACCCATCTTTGCCCCAATTCAAGCTATGTGCCATTGAGTTGTCTGGCTTTCATTTAGAAACCTTGGTAATCTGCAGATCTGCAAAAGAAGTCATTTTATACATTCCTACCCAACTTTTTTGTACTTCATGGTTTAAATGTTCTTAGCTGTGTGTTTTGCAACATCAGCTTCTTCCACTCCAACACCCTCAACTTACTGTGGCCTATGGCCTGTTACACTATTTCAAAAATCATACAGAAGAAGAAACTTAACTAACATGAAAAATGAATGTGCATTTTGATGAGCACACATAAAAGCACTGGTAAGAAGCCCCTTGTGCTCACGCTGGCCCCAGCGTGGTTTGGTGTAAATGCCATGGGACCTTGGCCTTACAACTGGGAGGGTGACTCATGGCCAGGTGGTTTTCAAACTTTTAAAAGGTGTGATAGGATGACTCAGAGTTTTTAATTTGCAGTAAAGAGATTAACTAGATATGAAATATTTAAAGTTAAACAGCTTTACTCTTTTGGAAAGGGAGTCTTTCAGCCCTTAGAGTCAAAAGATGATAAGACTTTGCCCCTGTCCAGAAGGCCATGCTGAGAACCTGAGCACCTGTTCTGGGATTGATACTTTTTCCTCCTCTGAAACTGTCAGGTCTGTCATCTCACATACTACTAAATTAACACACAAGCTCAGAGGCATTTTGTTGTAGTAGTTCGTGTTCCTCATTTTGCAGCTCTCCTGTAATATCAGGTTGTCTGAAAAATTATGAAAAACATAGGGAAAAAAACACATCAGGAGTTTTTTGACAACCCAATAACAACAGCCTGGGCTTTCTCTTTGCTCAAGTTTGTTTGTTTTTTTTTTTTCTTTTTTTAATTGATCAGTGATCAGGGTGATGATGCTGAAGTCATCAGTGACTATCAGACACATTTCTTCAGCTCTGTAAATTTACATGAGTTCAAATGTGATCTTATATTTCCCCCATGGTTTCCCATATATTATCCAGAGAAAGTCTTTATGAAAGCTAATATTGTGTACCGTTCTGGCTATGTGTTTATAATATTGCATTACAATATTATGTTGCTAGGTTCCTGAAATGTGGTTAAAAATATAGCGCAAAATAATGTCGTATGACCTCTTATCCCGAATCATAGTCATTTTGACTTGTTCTCAGGAGGATCCTTGTGATTGTATTTTCTTTGAAGAAAAAGGACCCCTGAGAAACTACCTGGACAGTAATTTCATTAAAATTAATTTTTAAAAAAATGTACAACTGAACCAAAGCAAATGCAAAATAAATAGCAGAGCATTAAATTGAAAAATTCCTCTGCAGTAATTAAAACTTTCACAATTGCATTTTTGTTTTTACAACATAATGTCAGTGAAATTAATTACCTGATAAATAATTGCTTTAAAACACAAGTCTGACATTAGCAATTATTTACAGCTTATAAGAAATCGTTAGCCCTATAGAATATGTCTAATTTTTCATATATCTTCCTGGAAATCCTTTTCATATTTGTTCTACGTGTTCGATACTTTGAAATATGTGTATCATTCACATATTTAAAAGAGATATTGAAGAAAGTTGGATTTTAATTGACATAAGTATTTTTAATGCCAACTCAGCTTTTTAAAATATCATGAAATACCTAATACCTTATTAAATAAAATAGAGTCTATGTCCTCATTATCAGTAAATTTGGTTTTACAACTTCTCAGGTTAAGTTGAACAAGGCTCAGGTTTATAAAATGACCCCATATTCTATGATCCCTTCTCCTTTGCTTTCCTAGTGTATTCAAAAGTATTCAAACCCAGAACTTTTTGGTGGTGTTTTGTTTTGCTAAGGGTAAATTTTTTTAATTATTATCAGTATTACCATTAAATATTTTTTGCAAAGCTTGAGCTAGTCAAAAACTCTTGAAATTAGTAGAATTTGCATATTAATAACTAAAGAGCAAACTTTTTTTAATAATATACATCCATTTTTTCTTAAGAAAAATCTCAGTAATTTTTTCATCCGTAATGGAAAATAAGCCATCCTTTAAAGTTAATTTTTTTAAGGAATAATCTTGACTTCTTAGTTGTTTTTTCTTTTTTTTTTTTTTCCGGACAGATAGGAATGTATATAGGAATGGATTGATTTAAGATTTGTTAGTTGGAATTTAATGGGTAACCTGATTAAAAGTTTAAATTTTCAAGAGACAAGAAATATAGGTGCAACAAACAACAAATCTTTCATATTTATACGACCATAGGTATATCATTCTAAAATGATACCTAGGTAGTACATGTTTTTCTTTTTTATAATATGACAACTGGCAATGAAAATGAATATGCAATAGGAATCCCTAAATTAAAAATCATCTGCAGTGTCTTAAATATTCAGATTACCATTTCAACTTTTAAAATTCTAGTCTTTTTTGTGTGCCCTGGCATCTAGGATACAATTTGTATTTTAGTCTAGATGTAGTATTATCCACTCTTGATATTCAAATCATACATTTAGTAAAGCTGTATTGCATTTAACTTTAAATATTAATAAATAGTAGTGTCTTAGATTTACATCCCTATATTTCTTATAAATGAGAAATTTTCAATTTGGGCATTGTCTCAAATTTTTGATCATAGATCAAAGTATTGAAAACTTACTTTTTTCAGACAGGAACATAAATTCTTTTGGGTCTAGGTGCTTTAATTTGGAATGACAATTGACCCTTCTCGGTATATATTCACTGATACTTATTTAAAAGTATCCTGACTCGTCATCAAATTCATTTTTCATGTAATAATCATTTCTATGCAATTTTTATGGTTAGTGATCACAGAATAAACCCTTAAAGAGTTACAGGTTCATTTGCATGAGGTACGTGAAAATAATGTCTTGAATTGAGCCACGTAAATCCAGGATTTACTGTTGTATGTTTGGAATGCTTACCTTTTTAACCTGATCCCCACATTCCTAGAGCCCCCCCAAACTTATCAGCTATTAATTTATGATTCCTTGTAAAGATGTAGCAATTAAGTGATTATTTGCAGAGAGCATTTAGAGTTACTACTTAAACATTTGTATGCATTTGTGTATTTACAAGTGAAATTTAATTTTCCAGTATAGTTAGGACACAGTACTCTCAGCCCCACCTTGAGCAAGTGTGTTCCATTAAGTATATGTGCATGCAGTGAGCCCCAATTAAATTTTTCTTGCTATGTTTTTATTATTGCCTTGCAGTCAGTATAAAGTCAAAAGACAGGAGCGAAAGAGAAATACTGCCTGCAGAGGCTCCGATGTGACCAGTGGTGCAACTGACTGGGATGGCTGTCTGTATCTTGGTCAGCTCAATTATAGAGTGTGAGAATTTGATCAAAAGATAATTGTAAAGGAGCTGAGGAAAGGATATTTAAATAAGTGAATGATAATTCCTTACAATGTGTAAAAAAAAAAGTGTTCTCCATGAACACCTCAACCTTCCAAGACTTAGCTATACCTTGTTTATAACATCAACTTTCAGTTTTAGGAAGTTTTGAATGATTTTCCTCTTTTCAATTAAATCCATCCTTTTCCTTCATTGTCTTTTAGTTCTTAAGACAGAAGAACCAGATAAGTCTCTATTGTGTATGTGTGTTTATATATCCTCTATCTGTATATATTATGTTATAGGGTTTGTTGATCAAGCTGGACTAAGACGTGTTGGCGTTTGTCCACATACACAGCTGTATGGTCGTCTGCCTTGCTCGCTGTAGGGCTGTTTTGACTGTTGAAATATGCCTGACTTGAATATTTTATTCAATCCTGTTGCAATGATTGTATTTGTCAATTTTTCATTAAGATACTGTGTGTCTTACAAATGGACAATATAAGGAACTGTATAATTTTGTTTGACCAGCTTAATATTTTCTTTTACAAGCTTAACATCCTTCTTAATGTATTTGCACATTGCATCACTGTTCAGCATTGCCCTATTTTTGTAAGAATCTGTGTTTGAATTAAACTTCTAAAAGTATAAGGACCATTAAAATTCCATCTTTGTTATTATATAAATCTGAACTATTAACTATAGGCTGTGTAAATTTATCTTTCAGTATTAGATTTATTTTTTAACTTGCGATATGACATTTTTCTTTATAGCTATCCCAAGATGACTGCAGAGGCACATTGTACAAATACAGACCCGAGGAAGTAGATATCGATGTAAGTATTCATGTGATGTGCACTGTGTGTTCTGTTGTGTTCTCTGCCAAAAAATTTGAGATGCACGTAACAGAAAATTTCCTCTTCGTGCCCTTCCAACCAAAATTACATCAAATAAATTAGCATGTCCTCCTTTTTGCACTCAGGTTCAATTAAATCATCCACTCCCCGATCTGTGCTTTCTGGCCCTCCCCCCAGAGTTATTCAATTTCAGAATCACTTAAATGAAGATGGTTTCCAATGAAGATTAGAGAAGATTAAAGACAAAGATAATTGTCTCCATCATCTCACATATTAGCCTCCAGAAATTCTGCCACTCCTTCCTTTTTAAATTAAATCTAGTTGTTCTTAATTCTTATTTTAGATTACTACCTTGTGTGCTTTCTTCCTTATTTAGATCTCATTCTTCCCTCCCTCCCCCTGATGTTACTCCCCTGAGTTGTATCTTCTCCTTTCAGTATACTCCATCTGTTGTACTTTGTCTTTTGTTGTCTAGCAAAGAAAGGGCATTTACTTTAATAGCCAAATGGCAAAGAAAATGAAATCCAATTTTTTTCCTTCCCATCATTAGACCATAAATGTTGGGCCTTATTTAGAATGTGTCTAAGGGTTTTTATTTTCAGACATGTGAAAACTACTTTATTATGGTATTGAAGTGTTATGAGGCCACCCGCCTCATAATTTAAAAATTAGCATCATACCAAGAATTTTAAACATTATAAATATTGAAAGTGATTTTCTCCATTTCTTGTTACTCTTTTCTAAAATTATAAAAGCATAATTTAAAAATATATAAAAAATAGTTGTGTTGGCTTATTAATAAGCATTGCATATATCTCTTAACTTGTCCAGTAGACGATCAGGAAGAAATCTTAATCACCTTGATGATTTGTTAGAATCATTTGAGAATGCTTGATTACTAAGACTGTTTTGAACTACACGGATTAAACAGTCTGATTGAAATGTGTTTTCACATTTATATGCGTGGTTTTTAAGCATTCTGTCTTTATAAGCTTTATTAATAGAAATAAAGGTTGACCTAAATAGATGTTTCATGGTTGTTGTAAGTGTATTTTCTTATGATACCTGCCTCTAATTATAGGAAAAATTAAAAATGACTAACAAAAGACATGTCCTCTTATCACCCAGGCCAAGCTGAGCCGGTTATGTGAACAAGATAAAGTGGTCCATGCTCTGGAGGAGAAACTTCAGCAACTCCACAAGGAGAAAGTAGGATAATTATGTTTGTTATCTACAACTGACTTGACTGTATATGATTATTATCAAGACACTGATAACTAAAGCTAAAAAAAGAATTTGATGATGCAGAACATTAAGTGTAATTCTTTCTATTATAATAGTACACGCTTGAGCAAGCTTTGCTGTCAGCCAGCCAGGAAATAGAAATGAATGCAGATAACCCAGCAGCCATTCAGACGGTGGTGTTACAGAGGGACGATCTGCAGAACGGGCTGCTTAGCACATGTCGAGAACTCTCTCGAGCCACTGCTGTGAGTAAATCCCCTTCTAGTAAGGGTCCCTGAACTGTGAGGTGGTTTTTTCCTTTTCTTTTGTTTAAATGATGTCAAGGGAGGCATGACAATTGGGGGGGGGGGTGGTCACCAAATTTTTTCAACCAAGTTTTTCAATAAAAAACACCTATGAAAGGCACATGCAAAGCCATGACCATTACCATTTTGTAGCAGTGGTGTCCTCTATGTTTAAAAGATACTTTGAGTGAGAAATATAGTTAAGAGGACCTTTTAACCCATCGTCATGTCACTGTATAAAGAATTAGGGTTATCAGCTCTAAATGAGTTACTTAGAGTGTCTCATGAGTTTAAACACTCCTTCCGAGTCAATGATACAGTCCCATCTCAGCACCCTAAGAGCACATATGCAAGCAGTCCTCGGAGGAATCAGTCCCAGCAAATGCCACATGTTCCAGGAACTACTAGTACCTCCTTGTCCAGACGTTCCACGGCTGTTCTGGAACAACTAACTTTTAAGAGGTCTCTGTACAGCGTCACTTATTTGTGAGAGGTCTTTCCCAGCTGTCAAGATACCAGAATTTCAACATGCCTTTAATTCCAAACACTAAATTAACATTCCCATTACGAACTATTTTTAAAAGAATACAGCATGGTTTTAAATCAATGAAAACTTCTTTCCTGTGACTCTGAAATACCTTAAATTTCTATTCCCATTTTAAAAATGCATTTGCTTCCATGATCTTGTTTGAATCTCTTTAATTATACTGTGATGCTTACAGATTGTTTAAAGCTTAATATGCTTTTTCATTGTGAGCTCCTCAAAACAAGATCCATGTCTTAACTCATCTCTGCAGCTTTCAGGATCTTACATCATAGGATGCACATTAAAATGTGATAATTGAATGACTTTCCTGTGTTAGAGAGATAGTAAATGACCTGGAAATAAATGCTATGACTTTAGGTCCTCGAACCATGCTCCTGAAAACTTAGATCAATGTGGATCTTTATAAAATACTCATAGAGAAAAGTGTATCAACCTGAAAAGTCATCTGGCTAAACCAGATGGGTAGAATTTGCATAAAGAGAAATGGGAAGGAAGTGAAGGATGGCTCCTGAGGACAGAACACGTCCAAACACGCTGCAAGCAAGAAAGTGAAGAAGACGTGGTTGGAAAAGCAGGAAATGGAACTGACTTATACACTGGCATAGAAAGTACCCCTTAGAGGACAGGGGATGTGATTCAGGAGGGAAAACAGGATTGAACTAGTGAAAGCTCACCACCCCTGTACCACCTGAGTCAATAAAAATTGAGTTGAAACTATTTCATGATTTCATGTCTGTCTTAGGAAAGTCCAGACATGTTCAATTGAACTGTGACTTCTTCCCTTAGCAAACTGGCTTAACAACTTAAATTTTATCAGTTTGCTGAGAATTTGCTCCATTCAGTGGTTTAACTCCCATCCCACATGAAGTTTATTAAAAATATTTTAACAGAAATTAGTGATGTCTGACTGCCCCATTGCCTGGCTGCTGTCTCCTTGCCTTCAGCATTATTCGGTGCTCATCAATATGCTCTTCTCAGGGTGTGTCTTACTAGATAGAATAGAACTGTGTGCCTGTGACTTTATGTAAACTTGTTTTTGTCCTTGCAGGTATTGGTATGTGTGTACAGTCACACTGGGCATATGTTTGGCACTCTGTAGATTTTGGTTTGAACTACACTTATGCCAGTAGAGTTCCAAGGAATCCTTCTGTTTTTTTCACAGTTAATTTGTAACATTGGTTCAAATCTGTGTCCTGAAGTACAGAAGGTGAACGTAGGAGGTAGAGATATTCCATGAACACCTGCTTTTTACCTGGCTGGCCACCAAGATGCATATAACCAGAATGAATGTGAGACAGCCTTGTAAAGTGGTGTTTCCTGGATGCGTTATATTTGGTCCTTGATACACCTTTCCTCTGTTAGCCTCATTTCACACACGTACACACATACATTCATGCTTTCAGCTCCTGGTCCCTTATGTTCGACCATTGCCTCTGCTTCTTGTTATCCAAACGTGATCAGTGAGAAGAATCATTGTGACCCATCAGTTAGACCAGTTTGGGTTCTCTCCAAATAGAAAACTGAGCCCGAACTGAGGGCTGAGTTCAGATCTTCTATTTGGGAGACAGTCCTAGGAAGCAGAAGTGGGAGAATGTGGAGACAGAGAGAGAGGTAGGGAGAAAAGCTTGTAAGAGTCTCACTATGGAGTTGATGTCCAACGTGGGCCACTAGGGCTTGATCCCAGTGGGGAACTTGTTGGAAATGAGCAGAATACTTTGGATACTTACAACTTCCTTGGGAGGTGGAAGGGGGAAGAGGTGGGGTACTGAAGAGTCTGGCCCATCGTCAAGTTTTGTCCTGGGGTCCTTAATTCTCCCACTCTGCCCGGCCACCTTGGCTAGCTTGCTCCAAAGCACTGGCACGGTGGGGTAGCGCTCCAGGACCCACTGCAGCCCCTCTCTACATGTGGGCAGTCTCTGTCAATGTACAAGAAATATTCTCGGGCTTCATCGGTTTAGTGGGTACTTAATTTACTTTTCCCAGTAACTCAGGAGCCAGATCAAGCAGTTATCAGTCATGCATCGTGGAGGAGGCTCAAAGAATTTGTGACTCACCCCACCCCCATTATGGGAGCCAGATATACTTGTAGTTCTGCTTTTCTTTTCTTTTTTAATTTATTTTTACATCATTCTTCATTTTGTGCCTTTTTCCATCTCGGTTGTAATCCCCGTGGACTTCCACTACCACTTCACCTGTGTGCCATCACCATAGTCCTGTGCATATTTCCCACCCCATTTTTTATCCCATTCCCCACTCCACCCCTGTGAAATGTCTCTGGTATATAGTTTTATTTTTTTTTCCCCGGTGGTCCCTTACTCCCCTGGTACTAGTGAAACCATCCCATGATCCCTTCCAGCTTCACCCATGTTGCTGCAAAAAGCATGGGTTTTTCTTTTATATATATATATACATATATATATATATATACATTAATTTCCTTGTTTCCAGCCATTAGTTTTGCATCTCTATTGTTTTTTCTTTCATGTATGCATACAGAACTGGGGTAGTACGGGGTAGTGAGAGGATTCACCAGAGACAGAGTGGGGAGCAGAGTAGAGAGCTACGAATGAAGTACACAGCTGAGGGGAGCAGTAGGTGAATCAGGAGAGGTCTACCACAACATGTGGATCACCTCCAGGGCCAGGGATCGAACTTGCACTGAAGCAGCTGCGGCTCACTTGCAGTGCTATGTCCTAACCCACTGCACCACCAGGGAGGGCTGAGTTTTTATCTTTTTTAATTGCTTAGTAATATTCCATTGTGTATATGTACCACATCTTTTTAATCTAGTCATCTATTTTTGGACATTTGGGTTGATTCCAGGTCTTCCCTGTTGTAAATAGAGTAGCAATAAAATGGGGTGCAGTTGTTCTTTTGAATCAGTGTTTTTGTGTCCTTTGGGTAAATACCTAGGAGTGGGATTGCTGAGTCATATGGAAGCTCCATTTTTAGCAGTCTGAGAAATCTCCAAACAGCTTTTCATAGTGGTTGTACTAGCTTGCATTCCCCCCAGCAGTGTAGGAGAGTTCCTTTCTCACCAACATTTGTTGCAAGTTGTTTTCACGTATCTCACTTGATCCTTAAAAAAATCTTGTGCGGTAAATACAATTATTGTATTCATTTTATTTTCCTTTTCTTTATCTCCACTGCACAGAAACTGAAGCTCATGGAGATTAAACAGTTGGCCAGGGTCTCAGAAGTAATAAGAAACAGAGCTAACATCTAAATTGAGGGCATTTAAGATTTTAAACTTTTGTACTTTCTACTCCCCTGTCTCAGAGTTTGAATAACTTTCTAGAACTTAGAATCAAATCTAGGTTGCCTTACTCAAAAATTAAATTGGAATTTTAGGCACCAGAAAGCAAGGCTAATGGCACTGTCACCCTGAGCCATGCTAATAGGTGATGTGGCATTTATCCACTGCACAGTATCACCAATGTGAAGTAGCAATAATAATAGTGGGTGTTTCTAGGGCAGTTATTGGGTGCAGGGTTCCATTGTAAGTGTCTACATGGCCCTAATCTACACAGTAACCCTTGACCGCAGTACTAGTGTTACTATGTTAAAAATGGGAAGTTGACCCACAGAGATTCCCTGGGGTCATGAGAGTGAATAAGCCATGTATCAAGGCTGCCACCAAGTTGACTTACATTCTAAACTAGATGCTGATAGGTGGGCCCTATGTCAGCAGGGATTTTAGACAGCTGTGGCCATCCTAGATGTTAGAGACTTCAAGAGTCAGGACACCAGGATGGGTGAGCTACCTTGCGAAGACATGGGTACATTAAGTGTCTTCATATGTTCATTCTCATTGAAATGAAAAACCAGAGACTTCTGGTTACAGCAAAGTGTAACACCTTCCAGTAGGTCAGTCGACTTGCATGAATTGTCATGGAATGCATTTAAACGATGTTTTTTTAATGCCTGGTTATTTTGCAAGAACAATAAAGCATCTCCCCCCACCTCCAAAAGCACCACCCATGAGCAGTGTACCTCCCACAAGCTGCCAGAGTGCCTGGCAGCGCTTCAGAGCATTCTTCCCACAATACCATGTGTGCACCTTGGCCAGTCACAATCCCTAACTGTGAGTTTAGAGGAAATGTAAGTGCAGGAAGCTGAGCAAAGGAATTCACAGTCATTAGAATAGGACAATTCTGCAGCATAGGTGACTTGTTCTCTTCCACAAACAAGGAACAGGGAATAGAAAGAGGGGTGGCAAAGTTGCTAAAACTTAAAATATTTACTGAGAAATGTGGCTATATAAATAAATGGCATGAATAGGATTTTTCCTCTTCTATTCATTCTGTTTCTTTTCTAAGTCGTGCATAGTAAAGTATTTATAAGTGACATGATGCCTGATGTTTACTTGAAAATAATCCGACAGGGTGTGGTGGGCACAGTAGGTGAAGTATCCTGGCTATAAAATAAGTAAGTGTTGGAGCTTTGACCTCAGCATGGCCACTGCAGCGAACCGCAACCTGCTGGAGGTCGGGCAGTGACGGGTGGTAACAGGTGGTAACCAGCCTTGTGGCAATTCTACTTGAGTGCAGATGTGGATGGTGTGGATTGACGTGGTTCTGTGTTAATTATTCTTCACTAAAAATTAAAAATAAATCTGTGGGGACAGAGATGGGAGCTAGAGTTGACACCAGGCTGACTGTGCCCTGCGAACCATTGCATTCAAGTGTTAGTGGACAGGACTTTCACGTATGTTTGACAATTTCTATTGCCGACACAAGTGTAACAGTTTCAATACCTGATATAAGCTAGTTGCAGGATTATGCAAAACTAGAGCGCTTTATTTTTTTTTAAGATTTATTTATGCATACAAGAATTGGGGTACAGGCCAGTGATGTGAGGGGTGGGGTGAGAAGACTCACCAGAGACAGAGTGGGTAGTAGAATAGGCAGATGGACTGAAATACACAGCTGAGGGGAGCAGCGGGTAGGTCCGGAGAGGTCTGCTGCACCATGTGGGTCAGCTCCCTGGCCTGGAATTGAACTCGTGCTGCAGCGGCTGCGTATCACTTCATAGTGCTGCACCCCATCCCGTTGTGCCACCAGGGAGGGTCCAAAACAAGATCCCTTTAAAAAGAGACTTTTAACTTTTAGAACTTGAGGTGAATTTCTGAGTCATTGTGCTTTAGAAAAAAAAATTGGGGTTGGTTCAGGTGACCCCCGCCACACTGCACCGTCTTTCCTTATCCCACGATGCTCCATGTCGTTAAATTGACATTTCCCAGGGATGGTTCATTCGAAGCTGGTCAAGGAGAAATCCCTGTTTGTGGGAGATGGGAGAAGCTCAGCTGGGAGTCACTAATTCATTTCACAACAGTCACTTGCGTTACATGTGCTGAGTGTTGTTGACAAATAGGCATCAAATGCCATCCTGATGATAGTTTATCAGTGTGTTGACTTCCTGCCGCTCTCCTTAATGTCAGAAGAGTAACTACAACATGTAGAAGAGAACCTCCACCCCATGGAGTAACATCCCAGGAACAGCATGACATGATGATGTATCTCTGAGCAGAATCATTCTGTATTCACTTGATGGTGATAAATGGTTACGGAGCAAGTGTGAAAAACCTCTCTGGGATTGGAGGACTTTGGGTGGCTTTTTTTCCAGAGGAGAAAATTGTAGATGGGTGATTTGTATATTGAGTCTCCGTGAGCAGAGATTCACTGACTTGCTTAGTTAACTGAATTAGGTTTATCACATTACTATAAATTTCTTCTAAGCAAAGTCACCTCAGCCTTCTGGTGTTATTGTAGCATCCAGTATGCTAAAATACAGCCTATTTATACTGTTTTTATTCCCATAGACACTTTAATCAGGACAGCTAAGAAAATAAAGAGCAAAGAAACATGAGTTAGAAATTTTTATTTTGCCACTTTCTAAATATTTGTAAAGGTCATGATGAAAGCGATAAAACCATAAATGGGGGGCTTGCCCTGGTGGTGCAACAGGTTAAAGTGCAGCACTTTGAGGCTGGCCACAGCCACTGCAGCACAAGTTCGATCCCCAATCAGGGAGGTGACCCACATGGCACAGCAGAACTCTCCTATCTCACCCACTGCTCCCCTCAGCAGTGTACTGCGTCAGTCTGCTTGCTCTGCTCCCCTCTGTCTTTAGTAAATCTTCTCCCTTGTCCCTGCACCTCTGGCCTGTACCCCAGTTCTAATAAATAAATCTTTTAAAAAATTTACAAATCTCAAAAAATTCAAATACTTAGTTTAAAAATAAATAAATAAACGCACATTTTTCTCATTAAAGTAATTAAAGCCTTTTGGTTTTAGGAACTGGAACGCGCATGGCGAGAATACGATAAGTTAGAATATGACGTAACTGTCACCAGGAGCCAGATGCAGGAGCAGCTCGATCGCCTGGGTGAAGTTCAGGTACAAAAGTATATCATGTTTTTTACATTGTTTTTACTGATACTGTACAAACCACCTTGTTAGGTGAATGGCTTTTAGATTTTTGATTGCCTTACCAATGGATTTGAATACCCCCAGTGGCAGGAATCCTGCCATCTCACAGAGTAACTGCCCTCGGGACAGTCCCGCCCCCTGCAGTTGTAAACAGTGTATCCTGGCTGTTCACAAGGTCCAGCTCTCATTACTAACAAGGTCTCCATTGACCAGTACATAGTGTGAGCCATGGATGCCTCTGTGCTGTAGACCTGCCACGTGGTACTGAGCTGTCAAATTATATGGGTTTGTCAAGTCACAGGTACACCGTCGTCTTTATAAAATGCTGCACGAAATGCCTCTCTTACTGAGTCAGATTTTAGCCTGTGATCTTAATGGATGCATCATTAAGATAAGGGAAAGGCAGCATCATATGGCATGAAGAATCCAGTTCCGAAAACAGGCAGGTCTAGATTCAAATTCCAGAGATTCTCTTATCTGTGAAATGGAAACAGTGTTCTCTATGGTAAGGTATTTATTTAAGGGAAGAGATAATATATGCTTGAGAAAATAATGAAAGTCACCTCAGCTTGTGACCCTGTGTAAATTTGACCATCTGCTTGGAAACCCAGTAGACGCAACACAAATCCTGACAAAAATAAAAAGGTTAGTAAGTTTGACACCTAGATCATCAGCCAGTTCTAGCCGGTCACCATGTGTGGCTGTTGAACACTTGAAATGTTGGCTGATATGTTGTAGTCCACATTTATTTTTTAAATTTAAGTTATCTTAATTTAGCCACAACATGTGGTTGTGACTGATGTTAGATGTTTAAGTTATATCTAAGCTAGAACCAAGAGATCAGAAAATTTTTTCTGTTCAAGACCAGGTATTAAATATTTTAGGTGTGGTAGCTATATTCTATGCACTTGGTGTATTAAGTTTTTTTTTAATAGCCCCTTAAAATGTAAATATATGCTTAACTCATAAACCATACATAAAGAGACATCAGGCCAGAACTGTTTGCCACGCCTCATTTAATCTGACAAAAAAAAATTCATTGTAAAGTTTACTTGCTACCTTATAGGATATAAAATAAAGTCGTGCGAATATTTTTAAGGTCAAATAAAGATCACAAGTAATGAAGACATTTTTGGGGGGGAAAAAAAAGGACTAGAAGGCACACTTTAAGAAGAGGTAGCATTTACCTTAGCAGCGACATAATCACTACTCTCCATAGCACAGTTCCCACTACTATAAGGTGAAACAGCGAGAGTATCTGCCCTGTTGGTTATTGTAATGGCCAAATGTGTCAGTATGTTTGACGCAATTAAAAAAACATCAGGCTATTAAATACACAAACAGTAAAAGCAAGGTAGACGTACTTAAAAGATGACATTCTGGGGGGAAATACCTTTAATCTCTAAAATTCAACAAGAGTTGCCAACTGGATCTGTTACTTTTTCTTTTTGACTCAGAAAAGCAGGAACTTAGAAAAATGGATAGAGAATTTGAGTTTTGCTGGGTTATGAAGATCCCACACCTTTCTGAGGCCCATGAATGCACCACCCTTGCGTTAATGGACTTTAAAAACACCTTTGAACTCCTCGGAGAACTTTTTAGCTTACTGATGAAATATTGATTATAATCTAATGCCTACAACTGTCCAAAAATGAGATTCAGTGAAGAAAAATCTTTTTTCCTAGATGATGTGACAGCTTTATACTTCATTCCCTATATTTTTAATAAAATTATAGTCCTAACAATACTACTTACTGTTACCCTCAGTATTTATTAAGAGTCATAGAATTCTACTCGAATCTTAAAAAAAAATCAATATGTTTTTTCCCAGTTAGAATTTTTAGCCTGCAGGTATGCAGTGGGCTAATGGAAGTAACAAAATGGGTATAACTGAGAATAGAATTAAAATGATAATGATAAATCTAGAAAAACTGAAAATCCTTGCTAATTTTTTTCCCTTTTTTAGCATGTCTTTTTCGAGACCTGAGGAGGCTAGTGTACTTTACATTTCTTTTTACCCCATCTAAATTTTTTTTTTGCATTTAGTTTTTATTTTGTTGTTTTCTTTTTACTTTTACTTTTAATGCTTTCCAATTAGCATTCCTTCCCAAAACCTTAAAAGGTTCAAGAAAAAGCTTAGTGAAGTGGTGTGAAATATAGTACAGTTAAGCCTGAAAAACCAAATTTCTTCTTTTTTCTGCTTTACCATTTTTCTTTCCTGCTGAAATTGCAAAATTAGGAGTCACATAGATCATCTTCTATATCCTCAAAATTTGATACACTACATCATTTTGAATATGTAAAATTAGCACAGTTTATTATAATGTCTTTTTTTTTCCTATATATGGTCTGTCCATTGTTATGGCTAGACTGAATCAGCAGGTATTCAGCGTGCACAGATTCAGAAAGAACTTTGGAGAATTCAAGATGTCATGGAGGGACTGAGCAAACACAAACAACAGAGAGGTACTACAGAAATAGGTAAACCAGCTTGGGACTTTCTTCCAGGATGATTGCCCATAGTGTTATATCTCAATGGAGTAACACGGCAATCCAGACTTCTTTTATTATTGTAACAGGCTTTTTGATTTTTTTTAATGCATACAAGAATTGATCCAGAAGTGGTCCAGAGGGGCGGGGGGCTGGAAGCCCCCACCAGAGACAGAGTGGGGAAGCAGAACAGGTGGATCCCCCAAAACACACTTCCAAGGGAAACAATGAGTGAGATGTGGCTGGGCCGTGTGAGTCAGGTATCAAGCTTGTGCTTGCAGTGGCTGTGGATAGCTTGATAGCACTGAGGCTAACCCAGTGCCACTAGGGAGGCCCTGTTATCACACATTTCAACACCAAAAAAACAATCCTTTTTTTAGCACTGAATCAACACACATACACGTTCTAAGGTAAAAAAGTTCTTCCAACTTTACCCACACAAAAATAGGTCATTGTTTTGAATGCATAATTATAAATACACACAGAACCACTCATGATCTATTTTTCTGTAGTTTATTTCTTCCCAACAACGTAGTGCAGTAATAGCTGGATAAATATGTATGTCGGGATGAACTGTAATTTATTTTTCTGGTTCTGTGCTGATGAACATCTAGCTTGTTGCCAGTGTGTTTCATTTGGATTTTGTTTGGCAGTGAGAAGCCATGCTGTAAGAGACACTGTTTCACATCTAACTAAATACACATGCCAGGACTCACTGGACCTGGAGAGTAAGAAGTCAACATACATTTTCCACTTGGACTGACACAGCCATATTAATTTATATATTAAATTGTAATTGTACCAATAATATTTGAGGAGATCCATGTTTACACACTCTTGTTTAAACTAGACACTTTCTGGAAAATAAAGTAGATACTTTAAGTTATATTATTTAATGAAATTGGTTTCAGTTTCTGAAAATGTTGCCAAAAACAAGGGATTAGAAATTTCAGGCTTCACTTAAAATAAATAATATTAAATTATTCCTTTTTGTCTGTAGAATTAGATATTTATGTTTTATAATTTTTTAATTAGGTATGACAGGATCAAAGCCTTTCTCAACAGTTAAGTACAAAAATGAGGTAAGTTTGAATTGTTTTTCTAACTAAATTACTCAGAATGTTTAAACATGCATTAAAATTGTCTCCTGAAAAAATGTTTTTCAAATATATTTAAGAATGGCTATTTGAATTTTGAAATTTCACTGGTTCAGTAAGATGGTACTTCTAACATGTGATTTTCTTTTTCTTTCCTTAATACAAAATAACTGAATCACTACTATCCATCTGCGTTCAAAATTTAATGTCATACTTTTTCTAACCTCAGTAATTTGAATATTTGTGATTATTTCTTGTACTTCATAAAATCTGTAGGTGGATTTATAGATAAGCTGACTGTATCATGCATACTATAAAGAACTTATAGCAACAAAGAGATACTGTCAACCTAATTGAAGGCATATATAGTCTTGAATTTCGTACGACTCAATCTAAGGTTTTTGATTAAATTTTTTCTCTTTAAAACGAAAAACTAATTTCATGCAGTAATTTCTTGATGCTGCGCTTCAGTGTAAAACTAACCCACATATTACGGAAAATTATATACAACCATGTTTAAAGGCTGATTATCGACCATCAAAACATTCTTCATCTTGCTTTTCAATATGACACCTTTGGCTTGGCAGTGTCCCTTTAATAACTTACAGTGAATTTAAGTTAAGTTACCATTGCAAAGAATTTAGATACACTTAATTCAATATGCTTGTCTAAATAAGGTGACTATTCTACAATCTTTAGGAAGAGGAAGTAGTCCCACCTCGTCCTCCACTTCCTCGGTCCTATGACTTTACAGAGCAGCCTCCCATAATCCCCCCTCTGCCCAGTGATAGCAGCTCCTTGCTCTGTTATAGCAGGGGCCCAGTCCATCTGCCTGAAGACAAGAAGATTCATCAAGTTCAAGGATATCCAAGAAATGGATCTCACTGTGTAAGTGGCTGAAGTAGCCACAGGATAATCATCATGTACACCCTCTTGTTTTTGAGAATTATTTTTCACTCAAGCTTTTTTTATTATAACACCAGTTTTGACCCGTGCTTTTTTTGTTCGTTTGTTTATAGATGACATCATCATTTGTGTTTCTCCTGTTTTGGTTTTTCCATTCTCATTTTTTTTTAATATTTTCACAATTTTAATATTTTATGATTTTGTAATTTTCATAAATATTGTCTCATATATAGTGTTTACTTTGCATGTATTTAAGGGGCAGTGTTTAAAAGATCCCATTTCAGAACATTAGAAGCAAGATTTTATATTTAGGTCAGAAAAAAAAGAAAAAGAAAAGGATGGTTACAGGAATGACAAAAAGGGTGGAATGTGGGTGTAAACATTCTACTGGAAGCTGCAGTTAAGAGGTTTTCAGTTAAGCAAGTAAGTGTGAAATCTCGTAAGGATGGAGCTGAGAATAAAAAATGGAGGAATGAGAATGAGAAGGAATATTTTTAAACTTAAATCCAAAATTTTACTGGTGAAAAATCTTTTTTTTCCTACCTTAGTTATATAATAAATGTAACTGTATTATCCAGTATAGCTCTCTGAGGCTTTTAATTCTTAGTTTCAGCCTTTAGCAGTAAACATTTAAAAGAAACATAGCTTTTTTTCTTTTTTCTTTTTTTGTAATTTTATGTCTTCTTTCAAGGGTCCAGATTATAGACTCTACAAGAGTGAACCAGAGTTAACAACAGTGGCAGAAGTTGATGAATCTAATGGAGAAGAAAAGTCAGAACCTGTTTCAGAAATGGAAACTTCAGTTAAAGGTCAGCATTTGGGCTATGTTTTATATCCTGCATTTTTTTCAGACATTTGAGCTATGAATCTCATTGACATGTTGACCTAGTACATATTAAATTTTGCAGTCTGACACCTTTGGAATCTGATGAGTTTCTTAATTCAGAAGTTTTTATGGATATAATAGGAATATAACATGATAACAAATCACTTATCTCCTGTCACCTCAACTAGTGTTTCCTGAACATTCATCTTGGTTGAGATGAAGTCTTGGAAGCTTCCTATCAGTTCACATTAGGTTTCTCTGAGAAGTAAGTTTATACCTAACTTATTTTTTTTTTATTTGTGCATACAGAACTGGGGTACAGGCCAGAGGCTCAGGGGCGGCGAGAGGCCTCACCAGAGACAGAATGGGGAGCAGAACAGGCAGATCAACGAAGTACACTGCTGAGGGGAGCAGTGGGCGGGCCAGGAGAGGTCTGCCACACCATATGATCACGTCCAGGGCAGGCGGGAATCAAACTCACACGGAAGTGGCTTTAGCTTCTTAGTGCTGCGCTTTAACCCGCTGTGCCACCAGGGAGGGCCCTATACTCAACTTATTTTTAAGGTTTATTTATTTATGCATACAAGAGCTGGTGTGTAGGCCAGAGGTATGGGGAAGTGAGAGGATTCACCAGATAGAGAGTGGAGAGTAGAACAGGCAGATCTACTGAAATATATGCTGAGGGGAACAGTGGTCAAGACACTGCTGCACCATGTGTGTTAGCTCACTGACAAGGGATCTAACTCTGATAGCTTCATAATGCTGAGTCTTAACCCCTTGTGCCACCAGAAGCCCCATAGTAAACTTTCATGAAGCTTTCCATTTCCTGAGATTTTTCTGTTGTTTCTCTGGTATACTCTATTTTAAAATTGTACCTGAGAAATTATTAAGAGCCGAGGCAAATTTTCACACACTTTCCATAAAATAAATAAGTACCATGATCCAATACTGTGAGTATTCTCATTTTCTTTTTAAGCCCTGGCCATTATTCCAAAGGTCAATATTGTAAAGATAAAAGATGGGGAGGGGTCTACTCAGAATTAAAATCTCAGGGAAAGCCAGATACAGTTATGGAAATGAGAACATGTTCTAGATGCTACCTGCTGTCACATTTTGGTTAAATAGGAGAATGTGTAATGTGAACTCTGAGCCACATGGACAGACTGTCCACCATTCCATTTGTGTTTTTCATGAGAGAGACAATGCATTATGTTCTCTTCATACGTGGGAACGCTCCTCAGTAGTGTTTTTAAACTCAGAAATGTATAACATGTTTAAGTCCCCAAAACATGTATAAATCAGAAAAATTAGGTTGCCTGAAAGAAACCCAATACAAGACTCACTTTTCCTGTGAAGTTCTTAGGAGAGAGAGAATTTACCTTGATTGAGATGAATACACAGGCATATACATTTGTCAGAACCACCAGTTGTAAAACTGCATGTCAGCATAATTTTGTCGCAGTAAGACTTAAGAACTATACAAACAAAAATATGGAGATTCTGCCACTTACTGTCCCATAGAGAGTTCTATAACTCCTCAGACAGAAGTGAAGTAAGTGGTCAGCTGTGGAAGGTCCAAGCAGCATAGGACAAAAACTATTTTTTCCATTTTTTAATGTGTATATATTTTTATATCATTGTTCATTTTTGTGGAATGTTTGAGTTCTTCTCTCAGGTGTTGATGCATAAGAGTCTCACCACCGAAGCACCCATACACCAGCACCTTAGACTCCTGTGCCCTTCCCTGCCCGGTTTTGATCTTGTTCCCTCCTCTTCCCCTGATGAATATCTCCAACTTATAGTTTGCCTTTTAGTTTGTCTTTTTCCCCCAAGTGCATGTATAGTTTCTCTATAGAGCAAAAATATTTTTGATAACAACAACATAACAATAGGATGTTTGTCAGCATTAACATCTAAGCTAATTGTATTTTTTCAGGGGATACCAATTGTCTTGGTTCTAGTTTAATCATTTGAATATGCATGTTAGCTGTAAGGTAAAGAATGGATTATATGCTTTCCAAACTAGCCGGAGGACAAACTGAGTAATAATCCAGTAAAAGGCAGAGGGGAGTGGGAAGTAGGAAAAATGCAGAACAAAATAAATCAGTAGAAATCATACAAGCATATATCAGTAACTATAGCAAACATAGTTGGATTAAAGGTTTTACCTGGTTTTTTTAATCTACTTGAAATAGATTAAAATTGGAAATATGATGTTTATAGTGTAGGCAATAGAAGAATGGACCCTACTGACTGAAAACATCAAGTTGTAGAGAATTACATAATATAGCATTCCATACATATGAATAAGTATTTTAAATTAAAAAAAACTGGGGCCACACCTGGTAGCATAGAAGGTTAAAGTCTAACACTATGAAGCTGTCCACAGCCACTGAAGCACGAGTTCAATCCGCAGCCAGGTGGTGACCTGCCCCCTGCTCTCCTCAGCAGTGTACTTCATTAATCTGCTTGTCTGCTCCCCTCTGTGTCTCTGGTGAATCCTCTCTCTCTCTCTCTCACACACACACACACACACAGACACACACACTTATATACACATCCCATACATCTCGCCTGTACCCCAGTTCTGTATGCATAAATAAATAAATCTTTAAAAATAAGAAAAACTGAAGTAGTATATTTTAGGAATTCACATGTACAGAACCATAAAGAAAGCAGAAGGAAGATAAACTTATAATCCAACCAGAGATACAGGCAAGAGCTAGGATTTGTTATTAAAGATAACACTACTTCTTAAAGACTAAATAAATGGTGAGATCATTTTTCTTTCTACTCACATGTATTTTATACTTATTCCTTTTACCTGCTTTATTAATAAAAACAGTAGAGAAGAGTAAATCTTTCCCATCAATCTATCCAATTATGTCGAAGGTGGTAGTGAAAATTTGGGCAGTGCGGAAGTTAATGAAGCATCGGGCATATAGTCGTGCATTGGAGAAACTGAAAGCAAAGATTCACAACTTGCCACCCACAAGCCAGGATCTTTGTTTCCATTCTTGTTGGTGAATACATAATACAGGGCCACAGTATAAAATTCCAGAGTATACAGCACTTGAGCAGACACTCTATAAAGAGGATATTCACACAGCAAATAAGCATATGAAAGGGAGCTCAGTCCTTTCAGTCCAAGGGAAATGCAAATTAAAACCAGGAGGAGATACCCACACACACCAGAAGGGCTGAGGGCTGACGCTACCTTGCTGAATTATCTGTTTTCAGCCCTGTTTAATTTTGCTCAGATTTTCCATCTATGTGGCTGTGTTGTAATTTTAATTTACCTTTTACCATCCCAAATTTTATGCCTTTTCCTTCTCTGGAGCTAATAGCTCCACCCTCACAACAGGATAGAGAGGAGAAAGCGAACTTCCTAATTCTGGTGTTGACTTTTGTGGAAACCCTTCCCAGTTTCCGCCCTGCATCCCAGTTCTAGCTTAGGTTTTGACTACCCACGTGGTGCCACATGATAGAAGTATCCATTCCTCTTCATTTTAGCAAAGTGTTTTTGTTTTTTGTTTTCATGAAAGGACGTGAAATTTCATCCAGATGGCTTTCCTAACAGTGGTTAAGTTGCATTGAATAGATTTTCTGGTGCTACTACATTTTATTTCATTGCAAAGTAGTTCAGATTTTGGTGTTCATATTTCTAAATGATTGATGATCTGTGACTTTTTTGCTGGCTCCTCCAAAAAATAATGTTGGAACTTTGTAGCTTCTCTTAAAAATTCAGTGAACTTATCCAGATTGCCCCTGTTGTCTGCTGCCTGCTGCACCTGAGAGGAATCTGCTCCTTCAGACACGGTGTGGGAAAGGGAATTGTCATTTATCTCGTGTGACATTTGTAATCCCATGGGTGAAGTGTTTGAAATGTATCTAAAATAAAAACTGTGTTCTGTTCTTGATTTTGCAAATCCTAGGCTGTTCTTCACACCCATGATGTGTGTAGAGTCAGACATTCCTTAATAGTGATTAGGTAACTAACTCACCAACTGGGTTTTAAATTATTTGGAAAAAGTAAAGTAGATATCATTCTTTGTACCAAGATGTATCTCTGCTCATAAAAAATTGTATCTCTGAAACATTTTGCGGGGTGGATTGGGGAATGGGATCAAAAACGGGGTGGAGGGAAATGCACTGGACAGGGGTGAATTGGTAGTGGGAAGCCCACAGGGATTACAACTGAGATGGAAAAAGGCACAAAATTATGTGGAAATAGACTATTATTTTTAAAAAAAAGCTGTAGTCATACTGAAGATGGGCTCATGGAGAGCATGAAAACACAACTTGAATGTACATAGTTGTGTGGAGAAACCTATTACTTCTCTGAAGCTATTAAAATGACTTATTAAATTGGACTTAGATTTGAGTATGTCTGAAGAAAAACAATTATAACAAATTTTGTGTAGCCCCCAGAGCAATTAGAATATGAATTTTAAAATATTGTTTAATTTAAAAAATGTGTGTGTGTGTGTGTGTGTGTGTGTGTGTGTGAAATACATTCTCTAACATGGTTTGACATCTTGCTTGAAGTTTGGCTCTTTTAAAATTTGGGGAATTTTTTAAAATTTGTAATCATAAGCTTTCTAAATAAATGCTGTGAAGTACATAGGTCAATTACATTATAAAGATAATGTGATTTATTTTGTACCAAGTATCTTAAAACTAGGGTTCTTAAAAATGGGAAACTAGGCCCTCCCTGTGGTGCAGCAGGTTAAAGCACAGCACTAAGAAGCTAAAGCCACTGCAGCATGAATTCGATCCCGAACCCCCCAGGTGATCCACATGGCGTGGCAGACCTCTCCTGACCCGCCTGCTGCTCCCCTCAGCAGTTTACTTAGTCAGTCATCCTGTTCTGCTCCCCACTGTCTCTGGTGAATCCTCTCATCGCCCCTGCACCTCTGGCCTGTACCCCAGTTCTGTATGCATAAATAAATGTTGTTTTTTTTTTTAATGGGAAACTAACTAGCATAACAGAGACTTCTTACAAAATGACTTGCATATCAGTTAAGCTTTTCACATTCTCAAATATAAAACTATTCACAACATTCACAAATAGTTTTAAAAGTTAATTCAGCTGCACAATGAATCAAAAGGGGTCCTGAAACGATTGTCCTGCCATTTGTTGAGACTGTTTTTTTTCCTAGTTAATGGATATAATTTTAAAGTGAGTCCAAAGAAAGTGGATTTTTTTTTTTACTTCTAAACCAAACCATGGAGATTTTAATAATTTTTTCTTTTACAGGTGTCCCCAGTGGACAATAGTGTGTATACTCTGCTTGCACACGATGACTACAATGTAAATGCATAGGTTTTATGTGTTTGCTTACTATTAACTTTTGTTGCTGTGTTAATGATTTTGTGTGTTTTGTTTCCTAATGAGAAAAGTTTGAGTTAATCTCAGAAACGTGTAAGAGAGGAAGCAACAGCGATTACCAAGCATTAGCTGTTGTCACCTTTTAGCTGGCAGGTTCTTCATTGAGGGAGGTACAGCATGACAAAAGGAGCAAGTCATTTAACCCTTTGGGTCCATCACTTTCCCAATCTGACATGTGCAAAGGTGTTCGGTTAAGATGCTTTCAACCTCTGTCCATGTTGTGACTGCTTTGTTAAAAAGCCGAACTGCAGAGATAGAGCTGAAGACAGTTCCCCTCCCGGCCCTGAACTGCTTAGATTGCAGGGGGGATCACTTCTCCCTTTTCGATTCGAGTTTACCTTGTCTTCACAGAGTAGCTGTAAAGATACAGGACCCCTTCAGTGCTGAGTTTTATGATTCGTTGTTTTCATCTCATCCGTTAACCTGTAGAACTTTCTCTCTAAACCTAGCCTTACATTTGTCTGGTGGTCTCATGAGCTGACTTACTAGGTAGAATAGCATGTGGAGGCCACTCCATTGTCTCTAGCTCTGCAAACAATTAATTTGTCTTCTGATTTCAAAAGCCTCAGAAATTGAGGGTATCAAAAGCAAGTGGTGTTGTATGAAAGAGATTTTGGAGAATTTATGGCTGTTTTAATTTTCAGGTTCCCACTTTCCTGTTGGCGTAGTCCCTCCGAGAACAAAATCACCAACACCTGAGTCCTCTACAATCGCCTCATATGTAACCTTGAGGAAAACTAAGAAAATGATGGATTCAAGAACGGTATTTAACTAAAAATTAGATTCTAGAAGAGTATTTTTATACCTATGTATTACTTTCATTCTTAAGTTTTTTTAAAAAAAAGACTTTTCTAACTTCTCTTAGAAAAATAGCATAATCTTAATAAAATCACTTTCAGAGAATGGTCACTTTAGAGGACACACCTACCAATACCTAATCTTTCCTTGATCAGCCTTGACATGGGTATTGCCCATAGTATGTGGGGTATAATCTCAGATAGCTGCCCTGTGTTACTCTTTGACAACCCCAAGAATGTCCTTCATAAGAGGGATAAGTGTGTTCTCACATCACCCATCTTAATGCTTTTCCAAGCCCTTCCATTTTTGTAGCATCTGTAGCTATGGTAGACTGGAGTATACCAATCCTCTGGTTTCTCTGAAAAATATGAGGATTGCAGTGATAAGCCCTGTATATCCCACTTTCATCTTAGATTCTTTTGCTTCAAACTGTTTCTCATCCAGTCTAATTTTGATTTTCAGGTGATTTAATGCGCTTTTCACAAATCTAAAAGTGTGGACTGTAGAAGAACTTTTACTTTTCACCTTTAGAAATTCTTAGTGGTGTGAAATAAGTTTGAGCCACTGAGAAAACTGAAAGGCATAACAGATGATAAGTCTTGTGCTTATTCTTGAAAGACATTAAAGTACAGATACAAGTACAAAGTATAGGCCCAAAACTGACAGATCTCAATAAAGAAACATAATATTTTTAATTAGTACAAAATTATGAAGCACTATTAACATTGCCATGGCATACAAATAACAAATAGCAATACACTTAATATCAGTCTTGATTCTACAACACTATTGTTTATTCATAGACCATATATTACAGATTGCAAGGATGTTTTCTTTGGAAATTGTAACGCTAAAATAAATGGACTAAAAAAAGTGCATTGTTGAGGCCAAGAAGAATAATATTAGTGGATTTATTCTATACTACAACCACCTTAAATACTAAAACACTTCTACATAGCAAAGTACTGGAGGAAGAAGTATCAGACTGTATAACATTAAGACAGAAAAGATCTTTATTGCTATCAGTGTCAGAAGAAAAGTACTTGCACTGGAAGTATATGTGGATCAGACAGAGAATAGATTATAAAGAATGGCTGTAAATCAATTATTTTTAAGTTATTTTAGTGGAAAATTGGTAAATGCAGCTATAGCACAAATAATGAGGTACTCTTTTCTAATTATATTGGAGAAAAGATTTAAAAATTAATTTCTAGCATTAAATAACTTAAGTTTTTACAGTATGGTCTTTTGGAAAAGGAAATTGTAGCTTGACGTTTTTGCATAAACATAAAAAAGGCCTTGGGAAAGACACGTTTGTCTTTACTGAAAATAAAAGGAAAGGATATTAGAGTAGCCAACTTCCTAATCAGTATCTAGAATTTACTTAGTGAGATATATTTTAATAAAAGCAAGCATCTTTTATTTTACAAATAAGATCATTTCTGGCCCTCCCTGGTGGTGC